AAAAATTAAAATAAATAAATAAAATTAAAAATTATTTAAAAAATAAATAAATAAAAAGTTGAATTCAGAAAAAGCAGTTCCATCACTGAGATATCATCAACATCATCACTCTGCAGTATTATGTTTTCCTAGATAAGAGGGCGTGGGGAAATCCCAGTCTGATAGTTCTGCAGAACTACAGATGCGATGGAAATGTCATAAACATTTTGTTGTCACTAACGAGGGCTGCATAAAAGAATTTCCACATTACAGTAATTGTTTTCCAGATACTTTGCACTCCTGTCATACATTTGTACCACTTATAAATCAAAGGCCCGTGTGCTACAGCTGGAGAACTGCCACATGCAAGGAGGCACAGTCCACACCTGAGTTCCAGATATGGCTCATGCCTCTAGAACAGCGAGAGGGAGCTAAGGGAGGGGCCCAGCCCCCTAGTGTCTTCTTGCTCGCCCTTTCCCTTCAACCTGATGGCTGCCCTGGATGGTTGCTCAGGCACCTTTCAAGATAATTGGAGGTTGTCCATATCTGAGATGAATTGTATGGGAAAAGGTCACTTAAATGTACTGAAACAGGCTTCAAATTTTCATGGTGGATACTGTTTAGAATTTTATCTTCAAAAATGAAACTGGAAATTTAAAAATTAAATTTATTTTGTATTTAACAAAATATTGTTTATATTTGCAACTAAGTGCCAATTCTCATAATGAACAAAGAATGAATTACACATGGATTTTTAAGCATAATTCTCCGAACAAAAATGCATTCCAACAAAATACAAAAATCCTTCCCTTCACTTTTAACTTTAACAGCACTGCAATGCAGAAGATTACTTTTGAAAAAAATATTGCAGGGCCTCTTCATTTTTCTCACCAGCTTTTTAATTTGTTGGTGTAAAAAAATCATTCTTTAAAAGAACTTTTGGTCAGCAGCCTTCTTTAGTTTCTTTACTTCAGTTGTCCACTGGAGTAACTCATCCAGATTTTCATTTGTCAAAAGTGCCCATCATTCCCCGTTTCTTTCACTATCATTGAACCCATCTCATGAAGTTATGGGTATTTTGCAAGATCAGTGCTGCACTATAGCTTGAACGTGCACTGTATCTACATTGCCTTTTTAGATGTTTACAAGGTTGATGAGTTGACCAGACACTAACCAACAAAGATGTTGACATTTTGGGCCTAGCTATATGCTAATAATATGCAGCAAGGTAGGTCTGAGTGAAGTACAATTTTATAAGGGGTCAGTTCACTGGGGTATATTTTCATATTCCCACGACTTTGATTTTCTGTGCAACCTAGTTCCGTGGAAAGACTGGGTCATGCACTCTTTGGATCACAAGGACCTTCCACCTCCCACTCTGCTCCTCTTTGGAGAATCCACCCCCAGGATTCTGTCCTCTCTGCATCACCCCTTCCCTACCTACTGCCTGAAGTTCTGTGGCTCCCTGCCCAGAATTCTGCTTGGCTAAAGTCCAGAACCTGGCCCCACAGAAGTGGACCATAAGTACACTTTTAGAGTCCACTTGGGTCTGTCTCAGTTTTAACACATTAAGCTTCTTAGAACATTTAAGGTTTATAGTTTTGTTCGGAACTATAGTTCCAAGTCAAACGTGTGTTTCTAAGATGAAACAATATGGGTTTTAGTAAACCTTTAATATCACATGGTGGTATCAGTGCCTTTCTGTGTCTCAACAACAATAGAACATCAGTGTTGGAACCCTAACTCTTCAATGAGGATATATATTCAGTCATCAGTCCATTAATAAAGAAATACTGCTGAGCCCTGGCCTGTGTACACCAAAAGGTGGCGGGCTGTATTCCAAGTCAGGGCACATACCCAGGTTTTGGGTTTGATCCCCAGTCAGGGTGGGTGCAGGAAGTAGGTGATTGATGTTTCTCTCTCTCTTTCCCCTCTCTTCCTTCCTGTCTCTAAAATAATTTTTTTTAAATCTCAAAAAAAAACAACTGTTGCATATGTACGCTTGAATAGTTTTCTATCCATTTAGGCATGTTTAATACTTTGTCTTTTAATTTTAAATCTTGAAAACTTAGCTTACTCCTAAGAATGAAGTATCTTCTGGCTATGACAACTTCAGATCATTATCAGAATGTGAATTGAGCAATATTTTCACTTCATCACTTAAAATATGACTTTTAAATAAAATACCATCTAAAGCATTTATGTTATTGGATACTCTTGAAATGTGTGCAGAATAAATAAGCATTTATTTTGCTCTTTGCTGTTTAAAAGCAATTCTTATTGGGTTGAGGGAGTATATTTCAGGATATAAAGTAGTTTGCCAAATTCTGTAATCCCCTGTTTTTAAAATGTCATACAGGGTGTGGTGCCTTCAGAAAAAAATTCAAAAGTTGTGGTTCTTGCTGTTTTTTTTCGTCCTCTGTTTCAAAATAGTAAAATAATGTAAACTCTGCAATGAAATTCTGGTTCCTACTGTTGGCTGCTGGATTTCCCTGCTATTAGAAGTTAAATTATTCCCTGCAGCTAGTTTTGACTTATTTCCTTGCCAGGAGTGTTTGTTCTTAATATTCTAACTCATTATTAGAAATGGAGTCTTGATAAGTTCTAACCTAATGCTTAATTGTTTTGCTTAGAAACGTGAACAACCCAAATAGAGAGTCTAAATTCAGCTCTGTCCCTCTTGCGGCGGTATGGTTGTTGGAAATCTCAAGAAACCCATCTCTTCTTGTTTTCCTTTATTATTCAATCCCTAGTTGTTGGAAAGCACTTCTCTCCTACGCCAGGAAAGCAGCGGAGTCTCCAGATGGGTAGATATTCAAGTGAGAGAGTAAGAGCTCGAGTGGAAAGTTGACAGAGGCCTCTTCTGGTCTCCCTTCCCTCGCATTAGGTGTGGCCGGCTGAAGGAGGCAGGAATGAAGAAGGAACCTCAGGTTTTCCAGCAAGCGCTAGGATTTTTTTAAAAGCAACTAGGGAAAAACATTCCCCAAAGCAAACCGTGACC